ACTAAATTTAAATACTTTGAGAAAACTAAATGCTTGAGGTAAGCAGTTGTGAGAAAAAGAAAAGTATAATTCAATTTTTACATGAAGCGAATGTGCTTTTTTAATAAACTTGTTAAATATTTTTCCTGCTGTACATAAATGCTGAGAAAGTTAACCTAGAAAAGTATTTTTTGACATTGGCATGAAACTAAGTACATGAAGCATTCCCTTTTACATTCCCTTATGCAGTAATGACAAACATAGTTCTTCTTAAATTGGAATTTTAAAATTGGAATCTAGCTTTCCTATGATTGGAATGTAACCTAGGATCAACTCTGCCCACTACTTATTAGTTAAGTTTGGTTAACTGGTTAGAAAATGGTATATAATCTCATGCACTGCAGGGTACAGCAATTGGAAACATTTGCTAATATATTTTAAGGCAAAATTTATCACTTGTTATTAATTTATTTATGAATGACTTAACTTTAAAAAAAATTATTTCTAACCCTATTATGCTGCTTATGAAATGTAGCAAACCTTTTTTTTTTTCTTACTCAAACCTAGTCTAAATGGCTTTTCATTTATGCAAGTACTAGAGGCCTGGTGCATGAAATTCATACACTTGGTTTGGCAGGGTTTCCCTCAGCCAGCCTGGGCCCCCTAGCAGTTTGGGAGCCCTTGGGAGGATGTCTGATTGATGGCTTAGGCCTGCTTCCACCGGGGAGCGGGCCTAAGCCAACAGTCAGGCATCCTTAGCACTACTCTGGAGACAGGAGAGCCTCCGGCCACCACCATTGCACTTGCTAGCCTTGAGCCCAGCTCAGGCCTCTGGCTGAGCAGCACTCCCCCTGTGGGAGTGCACTGACCACCAGAATGCAGCTCCTGCATTGATGAATGCCCCCTGGTGGTCAGTGTGCATTATAGCGATCAGTCATTCCGCCTTTCAATCTATTTGCATATTGGCCTTTTATTACGGTATATAAGGATGATTTTTTTTTTTTCTAAATAGACCTAACATTGAAACAGTTTTCAAAGAGGTTAACCTATCTAGTGAAAAAGAAATCTGATTGTTCTACATTCTGTTACTATACTATTCTTTTGAAATGATGAATGAACAAATGACTGTTTCTACCTTTCTGGTATTTATTTAACAAATATTTATTGAACACACTTAACTGTATGTCACCCACTATGTTAGGTGTTAAGATATAATGTTGAGTAAAACAAGATATTTGACCTTCATTGAATATAAGTTACAGGGAGAATGAAACATTAAATATCAAATTAAAAATAAAGTATTAAACTTAAATTACTCATGATAAGTTTTATATGTACTCTAAGTACTTATAATTGGGAATTTTGACTTGGCGCCCAAAAAATTACTTTACTGGGAAAGGACAAATAGGCCAAAAATCAGAAGGATCAGTCGTTAACAAGCTGACATGGGGAGAAAGAGCAAATTTACCAGAAAAAAACAGTAAATGTAAAGACTTGCTGGTAGGTGTGAGCATTGTAAAGACAAAGGACTCAAAAAGAGCCCATGTGGCCATCCTAAGCAATTGGAAACCATTGAAGAGAGTGAAAGGAAGGTATGGCATGACATCTCTGTGTTAATAATGTATTCTGAGTTTTGGATAATTGGAGAGGGGCAAGAGTGGGGAAATGAGTTACCAAACTCAACCGGGATAGCTAGGTGAGGTCAAGATTTAAAAAAGTGGAACAATTTGAGAGATAATTAGGAGATAAAATTAACAGGAATTGGTAATAGATTTATTGTGAGAGATTTAGAAGTGAGAGCTATCTATAGTGAGCCCCAGGTTTATAATGAAAAGATTGTTCCATTCCTGGAAACATGAAACATAAAAAAGGGATCCAGTTGGGGGTGAAGAACATGGGTTCCAGTGTGAGGTGGAAGTGACTTTAAGCTCCAAAGGAATTGTTGAGTAGGCAGCTGCACACTTGGGTCTGGATCTGAAAGATATCTCAGTTGAAGGTAGAAATTTTTGAGTCATCTTTGTTTAGGTGGTAAATTGAAAAGATGTTCACACACAAGATCACTTAGGGCCATAAAATGGATGGTAAAAGTACAGCTGCCGTAGGACTGACCTTTGAACTTGAACATTTCATGACATGAAATGGTGGATGAGCCTTCAAAGGAGACCAAATGGAGAGGCTAGAGGGGCAGAAGGAAAACCATATTCTGTCATGGGTCATGTAAACACTTGGAAAAGTGTTTTAAGAAGGAGGAAGTTGCTGTGACCGGTTTGGCTCAGTGGATAGAGCATCGGCCTGCAGACTGATGGGTCCCGGGTTCGATTCTGGTCAAGGCCATGTACCGTGGTTGCGGGCACATCCCTAGTCGGGGGTGTGCAGGAGGCAGCTGATCGATGATTCTCATCGATGTTTCTAACTCTCTATCCCTCTCTCTTCCTCTCTGTGAAAAATCAATAAAAAATATATTTTTTTTTAAAAGGAGGAAGTGGTGAAATGTTAGATGCTGTTGAGATTTCAAGTAAAATGAAGTCTGAAAATTTCCTGTTGGATTCAGGGTCATTTAGAAATCATTGCTGTCTTGGACACCACAAACTGGAATTATGTGGCATGAAAATGGTGATAATGACTTTGAACATCTCTCAAAGCTTGGCTCTGAGGCAGTTGAAGACAGAGGGTGCTCCTCGTGAACTTTGTAGTGAGGATGTGTTTGTCTTGTTTTTAATGAAAATGACTCAAGCGTGATAAAAATCAATGGGAATAATCCAGTTAAGAGATTAATAATGCTAGAAAGAAATAATGTATAGTGAGGGTTCTAGGATGGCAGAAAGGATGGGATTCAAAACAGTTAAAAGGGTAACCTGAGATATATGTAGGATTACTTCTTACTAGAGGGCCGATGCATAAGATTTGTGCATCTGGGGGGCAGGGGTCCCTCAGCCCGCCTGCACTCTATCACAGTCCAGGAGCCATTGGGGGTGTCTGACTAATGGCTTAGTTGGATATCCTTAGCGCTGCCACAGAGGCTGGAGAGGCTCCCGCCACCACTGCTGTGCTCACCAGCTGTTTTCTGGATGAGTGGGAGAGCACACTGACCACTAGGGGGCAGTTCCTGTGTTGAGCGTCTGTCCCCTGGTTGTCAGTTTGCATCATAGTGACTGATTGTTCCACCATTTGGTTGATTTGCATATTAGCTTTTTATTATATAGCATAATACAACTTTATTAATAGAATAGGGTAAATGATGGAAGTAAATATGTGTAAAGAGAAATGAAAAAGAATGTTAGATATGTTAGAAAAGCAGACAGGTTAAAAATAGTTATTGTAGAGTGAATTGGCCAAAAAATATATGTAGGATTGCTAGGAAGTGTAGGAGCCTGTTTGAGGTTAATTACGGTATGGTGAATTTAAAGTAGATAGAATGTATTATTTCCTGGCTATTGGGATGCTGTGATAAAGAACTCAGAATGTTCTTTTTACTCAAGGTTAACTAGAGGGATTGCTAACCATAGGGGAATTTAAAGTATTGGCAAATATTGATCATATACTTAAATTGGATAAAGGAGGAAAATCAAAAGCAAAGGACTAACTGAGAAAAAGTACGCATGTAAGTGAATTGCTGATCCAGTGAAGTCAGAGATGATTCTGGTGGATGGAATTTAATAAGCAAACAGATAGAAATTGTAATCTTGTGGAATATTTCAACTGATCATTTTAGAAATAGAATTATTATAAGTGATGATAAGGACTGCATTGTGACCATGGGAGTGGGTCACTGAGATAGAATAGATTAGGTAGCTAGAAAAGAGCAAGTCAAGAAGTGAGGATATATTGGGTTAGTAAGTGGGCATTTCAGTCAATAAGAATGATGTCAAAACTTAGGGTGGAGAGAAATTATAAGTTGGTTGTCATTATCTTCAATGTAATACAGAGGGTGAATGATAGTCATGAAAAGTAAGAGAAGCCATTACAGCCAAATGCAAGAGCCTTATTATTGGTATTTTGGCAAGAATAATTTGTTGGATTGTGTATGCCAGGTACTCAAACAGCCACAGTGATACAGTGATTAATGACAGTATGGTGAAGTAGAATCTACCTACAAAGTATATTTGGAACCCCAAGGATGGAGTGGTTTTCTTTAACTGAAGAAGTCATTGAAGGTTTTATGGGAAAGATATCTGAAATGAATTTTAGGAAGTTTCTCACATGGAGGAGGGGAAGAAAGACAATACAGGAAGAATTATAAGATGTATGGCTCCTAATAATAGACAAACATAAGTTAAAAAATGATAGCATCCCATTGTACTAAGTAACTGTTATAACATGTAGTTCTTTATCTTTGGAATATTTCCATCTCTTGGCCAAAACATTTTTGTTTGTTTGTTTAGTTTTGTTTTTGTTTTTGTTCTTAGAATTCAGTATTATTCTTTAATGGGATGATTTAAAGCAAGTATCTGTGTACTAGTATGTGTGTGAGTACACACAATGTGCCTTTGTGTTTTTGGCATTTCTTTTAAAGTTATGCCTCAAATAATTTATTGCTAAAAATAAATGCATAGGGTATTCTATAAGTAAGTAAATATGATCCCTTTCATGCATTTGCTTTTGTTAACACACTCATTCGATAAATTAAATTTCCATCATGATGGTTGAAGCTCTGTTTTAAGCCACAAGGACACAAGGATTGATATGATGATCTCTGATCTCAGAAAACTCAGTTTATTATGTTCCAAGCCCAACAAGATATAATAAGTATAATATTAAAATACTAATTATTCGGAATGCTATGACTTTTTTTTTTTTTTTTTAGAAAACTTTTTTCTCTTGAGTCCTCAGACACATTTTAAAATGTTGATGTATTCCTTTATTCACTCTCAGTGGAAAATGTTTGATTTCATCCAACTATAAATATAGTTAACCAAAAATTTGGATAAAGTGGTAGACTTAGCCTACAATATTAAGATTCCAAATAAAGTATGTTTCTTTTTTAATTAATAATCTTTCAAATTTTGCTTTATTCTTCAAAGGTTGTGAAGATGAGAAAAGAAGTGAAGAGAATCCGAGTTTTGGTTATCCGAAAACTTGTCAGAAGTGTTAGCAGACTGAAGTCGAAAAAGTTAGTCGTTTAAAGTTATGGCCTTCTGATTGATAAAATGTCAAAATTGTTTTTATTTAATATTTACAAAATTTGAAAGAGGGACCTAGAGGAATAATTATTATCTTAATCACACAGCACTTTTTATTTTTATTTATTTATTTTAAAATATATATATTTTATTGCTTTTTTACAGAGAGGAAGAGAGAGGGATAGAGAGTTAGAAACATCAGAGAGAGAGAATCATTGATCAGGTGCCTCTTGCACACCCCCCACTGGGGATGTGCCCGCAACCAAGGTACATGCCCTTGACCGGAATAGAACCCAAGACCTTTCAGTCCGCAGGTCGACACTCCATCCCCTGAGCCAAACCGGTTTCGGCCACACAGCACTTTTTAATATATATGTTAAGAGAGGATCTGAGTGAGATAAAATGTGCTGTGTCAGCATGTTACATGATTTTGATCATATTTGCTTAAAATACATGATGAATTCTGCTGCTATTTTTTTCAAAAATCTCTTTGGCTTTTTCAGAATGAAAGTCCTTTGGGGTTATGTATATGTTTTATGTTATTAGAAGTTATCTTAAGATGTGGTATGGTGCCGAAACCGGTTTGGCTCAGTGGTAGAGCGTCGGTCTGCAGTCTGCGGACTGAAAGGTCCCAGGTTTGATTCCGGTCAGGGGCATGTACATTGGTTGCGGGCACATCCCCAGTAGGGGGTGTGCAAGAGGCAGCTGGTCGACGTTTTCTCTCTCATCGACGTTTCTCTCTCATTGACGTTTCTAGCTCTCTATCTCTCTCCCTTCCTCTCTCTAAAAAATCAATAAAATATATTAAAAAAAAAAAAGATGTGGTATGGTTTTGCAAATCTAGAAATACCTTGTGTAAAATCAGTTGTAAAAATTCATATCACTTTTTTTACTTGAAATATTCAGTACCTTGTGGAAGTGTTTATCAAAAAATTGTGTTCCATCTAATTTTTTGAAAAAATAGTAGTTTGTATTTTCAGTGTCACTGGTATTAGAGGAAAAAGTATGTTATTTAAAGTCTTCAAATGTGTTTTGCTCCTGATTAATTTTTAGTGCTTTCTTTCATAAATGTTGCAGAAGATGTCTTTCCTCTCTGATACAATCAGATATTTGACATCTTTGTATATTCTTTTAATTCCAGAAAACAAATATTTATTTAATAAAATTATATCTAACTTTTAGTTGTATCTTATGGACCTTAATATAAATACAATTGCTATTAACCAATTAATTAAAAAGTATTATTTGACCTTCCCATTAAGGAATTATAAGGCAAACAGCAGCAATAAATTTTAATATTATGCCAGGACTATGCCTATTTTGCCAAGAACTTGGGTTTATTAGTAGAATTGGGATGTATGTTGGAAGGGGAGAAAGCAGTGCAGGATGACATTGAGATTTATGATATTTTTCTAAAAGAAATGAGACTTTTCATTATGATATGAGTCTGTACTAAATGCTTTTCCTGTCTACATATTGTAATTATCTTTTGCAGGGGTACTGAAGAAGCACTGTTGAAAAACCAAAGGCGGGCACAACGGTTGCTTGAAGAAATTCATGCCATGAAGGTAAGGACTTGTGCAGCTATGTGTATGCGTGTTTCTGTCTCTCATCTCAGACTGCATTTTGTGTGAGTGTGTTGGGTTACTTATTTGAATATTATTATAGATTTACCAAGACTTATTTTATGGGTCTGTTGGGTGAAGAATGTAGCACATTTAGAAAATTGTAATATGTTGAAGCTTGCATTTTCTCTTTCACTGAATTTGTTAAAGTACTTGACTAATTTGAGTCAAAACACTGCCAAACTAAACTCATCTGTGTTTAATAATGCCTCATGCCTAAGTCTTTTATTTTTACTGTAACTTTAGGCATGTAGTCTAAGTTGAGTTCAAGAATTGAAGTGTTCATGCTATTTAGTAATGTGGATGGGGATATTGGTGGCTGACATCATGCTTTACCTATTGCCAACTCAATAAATTTTTGTGTGATGGTGTCAGCATTTTATTCAGCTCTGTAGTAACTCGAAATAAAATTAGTATTGGACCAAAATGATCCATATTTTTGTTTCTTTCAGCCAGACTCTTCACTAGCATAATTTTTAGGTCTTCTCACTGCTCTTACTTTGTGGAAACTTTCATTTACCAAATGACATACTATTAAATGTCTGGAAGAGTTTTTTATTGCAGGACTTAAAAACAACATTTGGTACTAGCAATTATGTTAATTGCAGGGTCATTTTGCATGTATGTTTGACTATTACATTTTGGTATAACTTTAAAGAGTTTGGGTTTTTTTGTTTGTTTTTTAATTTTACTGATTTCAGAGAGGAAAGGGGGAGAGAGAAAGAGAGAGAGAGAGAGAAAGAGAAAGAGAGACAGAGAGAGAGATTAATGATGAGAGAAAATCATTGATCAGCTACCTCCTGCACGTCCCCATTGGGCATCATCAAGCTGTGACTTCCTGGTTCATAGATTGATGTTCAACCACTGAGCCACACCAATTGGGCACTTCCAACTTTTGAGATAGATAAAAGAATGATTGAATTCTCTAAAACTATTTTAATTGAGTTAAATTATCAAAGTTTCTCATCTTATTTTTTCTTTCTTTTTTTTTTGCTTTTTTTTGTTTGTTTGTTTTTTGTTTGAAGGGATAGTAAAGTATTTTTTAGGCCAGTTATTTTTCACAGTTAATCTGAGTAGAAACAGATGCAGGACATGATTTTTCTTTTTTTCTTTTTTTTTCTTTTTTTTGGTGTGAGGTGATTTTATTTTTTTGTGTGGAATTATTTTTAATCACAGGACTGCAAAATTTATGAAATACATTTGATCTATCTTCTCTAGTGTTTTAATCCCTCTCTTTCCCCCCCCCCCATTCAGTTAAAATACTCTATGTTTGCCTCCTAATTGGTATTTGTGTCACTTTGAATGATATATCATTTAGACTTTTTCATATACTTTTTATTTCTCATGAAATAAAAATGAGAGAGAAAATGTTTAGATATTTTTGATTTGAGGATAACTTTAAGATAGGAAGTTATTGTGTATCCGGTTGTGTCTTTCACTTTCTCTTAACCAAGGTTCTTACTAAATTATTACATTCCTTACCTAAATTTTCCCCTGTAATTTCTTCTGAATGGTCATTTTTGTAGTCCTCAATTATTTAAAGTCTTTGAACTACTATATAATTGCTGATTTTATTTTTCCTTGGAAAGGATGCATTATAATATAATAGACTGTGTAGTATATGAAGACTCTGAAAACAAAGATATTCATTAATCTTCAGAATACTTCTTTTCTGTAATAATAATGGATTAAATTTGAAGTTAATCAGAAAAATAAGTTGTCCTAATTGATTTATATGTGAAACTTGTTTTCTTTTATTCTTTTTTTTTTATATATATATTTTATTGATATTTCACAGAGAGGAGGAAGGGAGAGAGATGGAGAACTAGAAACGTCGATGAGAAAGAAACATCGACCAGCTGCCTCCTGCACACCCCCCATTGGGGATGTGCCCACAACCAATGTACATGCCCCCGACCAGAATCGAACCTGGGACCTTTCAATCCGTAGACCGACGCGCTACCACTGAGATAAACCGGCCTCAGCTGTTTTCTTTTATTCTTAAACCTCATCAGGAATAGAATATCGAACTCAGTGAGAAAGTTCATAGGTTTGCAACATGACTGTGTCACATTTATAGTTTTATTTTGTGTATGTATGTTATTATATTATATAAGACCACTGTGGAATTGTTGCCTCATAAAAAGCTAAAATGCATAGCCTATATAGTCTGGAAATTCATAAAATTAATAGTATATATGTATATTTTTCCCCTATTTATGGCATGGGTTAGGGTGGTCTGAATTGGATGCTCTGAATTGAACTTTTTTTTTTTAATGCTTTTTAAAAGTTGAATTAAATTTAAATATAAAAAAAGAGAAAAAGAGTAAGACTATGTTTGCTTTTCTTACACATCTAATTTTATTCTTTATTTATGATCCCTTTAATGGTCTACTTTTCTAAAAGAAAAATATATAGAGCATTTTTTAAGTGAATGGTCATTTGAAATTTCCTAAAGAAGAGTTTATCATATATACATGGGAGTATCAAAGAAATAGTCACAAACAGGAAGCTCACAGTCTCAATTAAATCTGAAGAAAAACCTCTACTTATTCATTTTTCCAGATGAATTTTTTCCTTGGCCCATATACCACTACATTTTTACAGTCTTGTTCATGACATACTGTCCCATACTTGCTTTCTATGATAACAGGGTATTTTGTTGCAAGATGACTTCCTCAAAGAGAAAACCTAAAATCTTTTTAGAAATGGGAGTTTGTTTATTTCTGGCCAAGAGAAAAAAAGGGGGGCCTGATCTTTTTTATATATATATATATATATATTTTTTTTTGATTGATTTCAGAGAGGAATGGAGAGGAAGAGAGATAGAAACATCAATAATAAGAGGGAATCATTGATTGGCTGCCTCCTGCATGTTGAACTGAGCCTGCAACCCAGGCATGTGCCCTAGACCGGAATCAAAACCAGGATCCTTCAGTCTGCAGGCCAACGCTCTATGAGCCAAACCGGCTGATTTGTAATAATCTTCCTTTGTTTTTTTTCCCCCCTTTTGTTTACATCTCCCTCCAATGTTTTGGAAACTATTTTAAACCTAGAAAAAAATTATAATGCTATAATGTATAGTAGTAATACATTGTATCACACCTAGTTTGTCCCTTTACTGGTGATGCTTAGTTCCAATTACTTGGTTTAGAGCAAGGGTGGGGAACCTTTTTACTGCCAAGTGCCATTTGGATATTTATAACATCTTTCGTGGGCCATACAAATTATCAACTTAAAAATTAGCCTGCCTAGATTTTGCCAAACATTTATTTAACTCACCCCTAATGCCTTGGAAGGGCCAAAATAAATGATTTTGTGGGCTTTATATGGCCCAGCCCTCAGGCCAGCCATTCCTTACCCCTGGTTAGATGTTATCAGCCAGATTTCTCCATTTTCCTGTTTGCAATTATTAAGTAATCTGTGAGGTGATAATTTTGAAACTGAATAGTCTTTCACCCAGTGACTGATGTTTTGTGGCTTAATCAGTTAATTGTTTCTCTTTCTGCTGTAATTTTTTATTTCTCTGATAAGATTTTAGTTTGTTAAGAGGTTTTTAATTTTTTCTTTACAATATTGAAGATAGTGCTAATAGCCATTTTCCCCTATGGAGTATGGTTTCTTGACTTCCTGCAGGAAAGATTTCAAAAGATTCCTGGTGATTTTGAAGTACATTTATTAATGCTGGAGACAGTGAATCTGAGGAAGTGCTTAGGATAGAAGAAGCAACAGGAGAGACTATGCGGCACTGCTGTGGCTCTCTAGAAACATTATGGGAAAGAAGTGAGCCAAGGAGGTGCTGCTGTTAGCTCACTGGAGAGTTAGAGAACAGGAGGCCTTCGGGACAAGGTCAGGGGGTTAGCCCAGGATATGCATCCTCTGTCCCTTGCTCCCCTGGTTGCAAGTCTCATGAGGTCCCTTAGAGTTAAGGAGATGCAGGCCTGTGGGGGAAGAAAAGGAGGGAGAGAAAGGTGTGGGCGTGTTCCTAGGAGGGAGAGTGCACAAGTTTTGAAAATCTTAATGTGGGTTGCAATTGAATTTTTTATAGTAATTTTTATGTTAATCTTTTTATTGTATATTTATGGAGGATTATGATTTAGTTGAATGTGAAAATGAGAGAAAACTTTGTATAACAATTACAAATCTGTGCTTTGTGAATATTGTGAGAGGAGTAAATGATATTGTTAATCTACAAAGATAGTAAAAGAATAGCTGCTAATAGTCTGAAAATTGAATAAAGCTGTTTTAGTACTTGACAGTTTGAAGTTTTCAGCTATGTGATTATAGTTATGAACTGGATTAATTGTTTGCAACAGTCTTCAGAGTAGTTGGAACAGAGTAGTATTCTTTAGATGTGTTTGCCTACATTTTTGTGAGAACATATAAAATCTTTTTATCTAACACCGCTGTGCATAGGCCGAAAGAAGAAAAAAAACACACCAAAAAAGTGTAATGAGTATGAATTGAAAAGTACAAAACTGAGTTCTAAGTCTTGAAATTTAGGTTACAAACTTTGACCTCTGTAGACTTTAATTTCTTCACAAAATTAAGATGATTGAGTAGATTTTTTTTAAGTCATTTGCTCCCGTGTCCTATTCTTTAATCTCAACTAGCTTGGAGTTTACTACCTGTGCTACCTGCTCTATCAAAAAATGTAGGCTTTTTAGCTTCTCAGTGAAATAGTACTTTTGTTTTGAAGTAGTTCAATTGAAATTTTTATTTTATTTACAAAGCAGTGATTGACATGTTTTTTACATATCATTATAGGACTTATACCACTTAAATACTAATTTACTAAATGAGCAATTTCTTATTCATTTTGTCTAGTTGACAGAGTAAGGACCTTTCTAGATGTTTATCCTTGAAACATCTCGCTTTTTACAATGATGATGATTTTCTTTAAATATGATAATCTTCTTTGCCTTAATGAGGAGACATGCATT